GTCTTTGGGATGTTAAAACAGGATAATAAAAAGCCAAATTGGATGGTCATACTTGCACTGTCTACTCAGTCTGTTTCTCTCCTGATGGAGATACATTAGCTTCTGGTAGTTATGATAAATCTATCCGTCTATGGGACGTCAACACAGGATAATAAAAAGCTAAATTAGATGGTTAAACTAGCATTGTCTACTCAGTCTGTTTCTCTCCTGATGGAAATACATTAGCTTCTGGTAGTTATGATAAATCTATCTGTCTATGGGACGTCAATACAGGATAATAAAAAGCCTAATTGAATGGTCATAGTAATTTAGTTATGTCAGTTTGTTTCTCTTCTGATGGAAATACATTAGCTTCTGGTAGTTTAGATAACGCTATTCGTCTCTGGGATGTCAAAACAGAATAATAAAAAGCCTAATTGGATGGTCATGAGCCTTATGATATGTCAGTGTGTTTCTCTTCTGATGGAAATACATTAGCATTCGGTAGTAGCGATTAATCTATCTGTCTATGGGATGTTAAAACAGCATAAGAAATTAAATCCTCCAATAAAAATTACAAAGATGTTTTAATATAATTTTAGATTCCACTCAAATACCATAATCCTATTTTAGAAGGTAATATTAATATTTTTCGTATTTTTAGTCTCCAATTATATTACTACACTCCTTATCTCCCAAGAGGCATAATTTTAAGCTTAAGGAGCTTTAATCCTGAAAGGAGAGTTTATAAATCAATCCGGTATTGATTTAAAGACATTATTTAAACAAAAAGGAAGTTGCTTTTTAGAAGAATTTAAGTAAATGTGAGCATTATTTTTCATTAACATTTTTTTAAATTGAAATTACAATCAATTTTTTATATTTTTTTATTCATTTCTTAATTAATTTCACTCTTCATATTAACTTCTAAAGCTAAGTAAGATCTTATTGATAAAAGTTTTATTTCATATCATATCGACATTTTTGATTTAGTAAAAGATGTAGATATTCAAATCTTTGAGGTCATATTAGAAATGTTTCGAAAGGAAAAAGTTTAAGACTGCGTTGGATATCTTTCAGATAATGGGAATCAAAGGCAATTTGAATCATAAACCTTACAACAAGGAGAGAATTTAAAATAACGGGATAAGGAATATAAATTGTCTGATGTTAGAAATGGAATCAAGTTAATTATAGATGTTATCAAAAATTTAAAAGATCATTGCTTCAATTACAAAGACTTTTCCTCTGAAGAAAATGAAGAATCTACATTAAGTATAATTAACAGCATTAAGGATAATAGAGGGATCATTGGATTTCTGTTATTTTTAGTTCACCTCACATCAATTGATGAAACTTTGATATAATGTGGATCTAATTCATTATTTATATTAGTTTAGATGAAGGTAGACCTTAGAAATAAAAACTTTGAAAATATTAAGATCTAAAACACATCTTTGGTTGGTGCTAATTTTGTTAGGTGTAATTTAAGTGGATCTTAATTCAATAATGTCAACATAAGTGGAATAAATCTAAATAGAGCACTATTATTAAATTGTAAATGGAGAGACTTAAGAATCCCTGAATTAAATTAATTACATGGTCATACTAGATCTGTTTAATCAGTCTGTTTTTCTCCTGATGGAAATACATTAGCGTCTGGTAGTAAAGATAAATCTATCCGCCTTTGGGATGTCAAAACAGGAAAATAAAAAGCCAAATTAGATTGTGATTCATATGCTGTTAGATCAGTCTGTTTTTCTCCTGATGGAAATACATTAGCAACTGGTAGTGAAGATAAGTCTATCCGCCTATAGGATGTTAAATGTAAGAAATAAAAAGCCAAATTATATGGTCATACTAATAGGGTTAACTCAGTCTGTTTCTCTCCTGATGGAAATACATTAGCATCAGGTAGTGAAGATAAGTCTATCCGCCTTTGGGATGTCATAACAGGATATTAAAAAGACAAATTAGATGGCCATACTTATTCGGTCTACTCAGTTTGTTTCTCTCCTGATGGAAATACCTTAGCTTCTGGTAGTTATAAGTCTACCTGTCTTTGGGATGTCAATAGAGGATAATTAAAAGCCAAAATGGATGGTCATAGTGATAATGTCTACTCAGTCTGTTTTTCTCCTGATGGAAATACATTAGCATCTGGTAGTGAAGATAACTCTATTCGCCTTTGGGATGTCAAAACAGGATAATAAAAAGAAAAATTAGATGGTCATGTCTACTCAGTTTGTTTCTCTCCTGATGGAAATACATTGGCTTCTGGTATTAGTGATAACTCTATTTGTCTATGGGATGTCAAAACAGGATAATAAAAAGCCAAAATGAATGGTCATACTAGCACTGTCTACTCAGTCTGTTTCTCTCCTAATGGATATACAATAGCTTCTGGCAGTTAAGATAAGTCTATCCGTCTTTGGGATGTTAAAACAGGATAATAAAAAGCCAAATTGGATGGTCATACTTGTACTGTTCACTCAGTCTGTTTCTCTCCTGATGGAAATACATTAGCATCTGGTAGTAATGATTAGTCTATCCGTTTTTGGGGTGTCTAAACAGGATAATAAAAAGCCAAATTGGATGGTCATGAGCATAATGTTATGTCAGTTTGTTTCTCGCCTGATGGAAATACATTAGCATCTGGTAGTAATGATTAGTCTATCCGTCTTTGGGATGTTAAAACAGGATAATAAAAAGCCAAATTGGATGGTCATACTTGTACTGTTCACTCAGTCTGTTTCTCTCCTGATGGAAATACATTAGC